CGCACCTAGGGGAGAAGGCAGGGCTGGGGATTTGGGGAAAGGGTTGGAATGGGGCAGGGAAGGGGCAGAGTTGGGGTGGAGTCAGGGGGACACAGGAAAATTTTTTTGCTTGAGGCGGCAAAAAACGGAGCCGGCCCTGTCTCTTAGGCTCTCCACTGTCCACCTCTGTCCCTGATTCCCCTCCCTCTGAGTAGAGGGGCAACCTCCTCTCACTTTCTCAGAGGGAGGAGTTATCTTCTGTCCATAGAAAATTAACAGTACATGGCCTGAATACACCCTAAATCAGTGGTTCTCAAACTTTTGTACTGGTGACCCCTTTCATATAGCAAGCCTCGGAGTGCAACCCCCTGTTATAAATTAAAAACGTTTTTATATATTTAACACCATTATAAATGCTGGAGGTAAAGCAGGGGTTGGGGTGGAGGCTGGCTCACGACCCCCCATGTAATAACCTCGTAATAACCTCGCAATCCCCTGAGTGGTCCTGACCCCCTGTTTGAGAACCTCTGCCCTAAATCATATATCCCCATACAGGGTCAAGTCCCTTTACTATATGTACACTGGCTCTGTGTCTATAACAAGTTACACTGCAGTTGCTCACACTGAGGGCTGGTCTTCACTACCCGCCCAGATCGGCGGGTAGAAATCGATCTCTCGGGGATCAATATATTGCATCTCGTTGGGACGCGATAATCGATCCCCAAATCGACATGCATACTCCACCAGCCCAGGTAGGAGTAAGTGCCATTGATGGGGGAGCCACGGCAGTCGATTTGCCGCCGTCCTCACAGCGGTGTAAGTCGGATCAGATACGTCGAATTCAGCTACACTATTCCCGTAGCTGAATTTGCTGAAATCGATTCCCCCCACCCCCGGTAGTGTAGACGTAGCCTTTATAAATTATATATATTATATATATAAAAATAAATAAACAACAGATTTACCTGAGTCTCATGTAATACTCCTTAAGGAAGGGAATATAGGTCTTGTCTACAGAAAGAATACTCTGGCTACCGCACCTCTGTAAAAACATGCACATGCTTGCAGAACAGCTGAGGAATAGAGGGTGGAAACACTTGTTTCTTAAATTAAGAGGGACTGATTCTGTGGAAGAAACATGCTGCAAGTAAGTGTTACAATTAGATACTTTAAATAAAAAAAAAGAAAAGAAAAAAAAAAAAAACAACACCACACACCCATCTCCCCGCCCTGTCACTCAGTTCTAGTTACAATACTCTCTAACCAGGAGACTAAAAGTGTACTCTCCATGTTTGCAATCAGTATAATGAGAGAAGCAGATTTACTGAGCAGTTAAGAGGAGAGAACAGGTATTTACACATGCACTTCCCTCGATTTATTTCAAAAGGTTTGTCTGTCTTGGACTGGCAATATAAGTCAGACAACCCATATAAATAAATTTACAGCAGAGAGAAAAATTCGTTCCTGAAATAAGCCTGGCTGGGTTATATTAACTGAATTGTTCAGAAAGACTCAAATATTTTTAAAAGGAAAAAAAGTAATACTAGTCTTTGACACTCCCTAAAACTCTAGCTTCCTAGTGTGCTGCACCAGAGAATCTATCTGCTATGGCCACCAAAAATCTTGTATAGTGTTATTATTTGCTCCCAGCTTGATGAAATCCAGGAATTGCCATCCCTGCTGCTTAAATTATTACCTGTGAAAATATGGAAGTTTTATACTATTCACCCCACACTACACTATATTAAATGTGACCTTTTATATCCACCCCACTCCCATCTCTATTGTAAGTAGCTTCCCTGAGGAACTAATCGGTCAGATCCACTTTTCTGTTGAACTCACTTTGTAGAGTCTTAAGGGACTTTTTCAGACTTGTTGACAAGAGTTTCTTTGATTTCCGTGTGACTAACGATTTTGCTCATCAGAGAAAAGGAAAAGGGTAAAGTTACAGAAACAAAACGTTTGAACCTGCACACCGAGGGACACAGCGTTCCATGAAGTCCATCAGTGCAGAAAGTGTAGCAGCAGACAAATTGATAACTTTTATTGATGCACAGCTGTAAAAATTCTGAACTGTATCTTACCCATTGTTTTCATGATTAAGAGTTCATACAGGCAAACACACACAAGCTGGACTCGACTGCATTGGCTATATGTACCGTACATGGCTTAGATACTTTAGTGATGTGCATGGTAGAAGTGTTTCTGGAGAGATTAAAAATTAGTGTTTCTCAACTAGGGGTGTCAAGTGATTAAAAAAATTAATCAAGTTTAACAGCAAGATTAATCAATAAAAGAATAGCATTTAAATAAATATTTTGGATGTTTTCTACATTTTCAAATATATTGATTTCAATTACAACACAAAACAAAGTGTATAGTGCTCACTTTATATTTATTACAAATATTTTTGTTTTTCACAGTGCATAGTATTTTTCAGTTCACCTAATAGTACTGTAGTGCAATCGCTATCATGAAAGTTGAACTTACAAATGTAGAATTATGTACAAAAAATAACGGCATAGAAAAAATAAAATATAAAACTCAGAGCCTACAAGTCCACTCAGTCCTACTTCAATTTGCAGGAGATAATGCTGCCCGCTTCTTGTTTACAATGTCACCTGAAAGTGAAAACAGGCGTTCGCATGGTACTGTTGTAGCCGGCGTTGCAAGATATTTACGTGCCAGATGCACTAAAAATTCATATGTCCCTTCATCTTCAACCACCATTCCATAGGACATGCGTCCATACTGATGACGGGTTCTGCTCGATAACTATCCAAAGCAGAGCAGACCGATGCATGTTCATTTTCATCATCTGAGTCAGATGCCACCAGCAGAAGGTTGATTTTCTTTTTGGTGGTTTGGGTTCTGTAGTTTCTGCATCTGAGTATTGCTCTTTTAAGACTTCTGAAAGCATGTTCTATACCTTGTCCCTCAGATTTTGGAAGGCACTTCAGATTCTTAAATCTTGGGTTGAGTGCTGGAGCTATTTTTAGAAATCTCACATTGGTATCTTTGCGTTTTGTCAAATCTGCTGTGAAAGTGTTGTTAAAACTAACATGTTCTGGATCATCATCCAAGACTGCTATAAAATTAAATATATGGCAGGATGTGGGTAAAACAGAGCCGGAGACATACAGTTCTCCCCCAAGGAGTTCAGTCACCAATTTAATTAACACATTTTTTAACTAGCATCATCAACATGGAAGCATGTCCTCTGGAATGGTGGTCAAAGCATGAAGAGGCATACAAATGTTTAGCATATCTGGCACGTAAATACCTTGCAACGCCGGCTACAAAAGTGCCATGCGAATGCCAGTTCTCAGTTTCAGGTGACATTGTAAATAAGAAACAGGCAGCATTATCTCCCGTAAATGTAAACAAACTTGTTTGTCTTAGTGATTGGCTGAACAAGAAGTAGGACTGAGTGGACTTGTAGGCTCTGAAGTTTTACATTGTTTTGTTTTTGAGTGCAGTTATGTAACACAAACATCTACATTTGTAAATTGCACTTTCACGACAAAGAGGTTACACTACAGTACTTGTATAATATTTATCATTTTTACAGTGCAAATATTTGCAATAAAAAATATAAAGTGAGCACTGTACACTTTGTAATCGTGATTAATTTTTTTGAGTTAATGGCCTGAGTTAACTGCGATTAATTGACAGCCCTGTGCTCAACCTTTTCAGGCTGGCGACCCTGTATTGAAACTGAGAATTTTTCACAACCCCTTTACATTTACTATAAAATTGTATCAATGATAAGCCTGTATAATTTATTGGTGTGTGTTTCAAGAGGTTGACCTGAAAGGGTGTAAAGGGAGATAAGGAAGCAAGATTTTCTTTGCTTTTGATTGCAATACAATTGTCAATGGCTCACAAGCCCCCAATTGCCTTTCATGACCACTCTGGGGGGAGGGGGGGTCGAGAAACACTGGTTTAGATTTTCTCTGTCTGTTGCACCACAAAGATCTAATTCTGTCACTTGATATTCAGCTGGATAATGTTCCTATCAATATTTTGGGATTTGTCTCTGCAACTAACTCAAAAATGACAAAAACTGCAAACCTTGGAGGGTACAAAATGTAACTTACCTTTATATTTGGTCTATTTTCCTGACATGCACTGCAAGGGTTTTAAACCATCTACCCCTAAGAACAAAAAAAGTGTTTCAATGCACTTGTGCAGATTGAGTAACAAATGAAAATTTGGGGATTAGATCATGGTATCCGTTTTTTTAGTCTGAACTCCCACTGATGTGTTCTGCTTTAAAAAAATATATATCTCCATTGAAATAATATGGCTATTGATCGAGAATCAAAACGTTAGTCACAAATTTCCAAGCAGTTGTTCTAAGCAGTGAAGGATTTCAAGTTATGAGAAATATTTTTATTGTTTCCTTCTAAGCAATACAAAGAATTAACATGCAAGAGAATACCTATAAATATATTAGAAAATTGTATTTTGTGTTTGTCATTACATGCTTCTCACATTTCACAAATGCTTCCTATTCAATGCTCAAAGACCAAAATTATAAGAGTTCAATTAACTAGCAAAGTCAAACAGAACTAGAGGCAATTCAGTCCATTGTGCCAATATCCATGGATTGGTCAGGGTTCTTTCCACACAAGACATATTGGGGCCAAATTTTCAATTGATAAACTGATGTAGGTCCACTGATTTAAAATAGAGCAATGCAAATGTAAACCAGCTGTGACTCTAGCACATGGCTTAATCCTGTAAACATGCATACACATAATTTTGCTCACATGGGTATCCCATTTGACTTCAGGTTAAGCTAGATGTAAGTGCAAGTACTCATAGGATCAATGCTATAGTATCCAGACTGGACAAAAGAGAAAAAGCCAATTCACGCATGGGAAGTTGATTCTATTTGGATAGAAGAACTGGAAAAAAAATAAAAACCACTAGAGTTCCCTCCCCCCGTGTACCTGAGCAAGCCCAGTGGTGGGAACCTCCAAACAGAACAGAGCAACAGAGCATAGACTGGAAAGAAGAGTTCTAATAATTTTATTTTATAAAAGAATTGCAATGTAATGAGGTGCACTATTTCAAGGTTGTACAGAGGGGTGATGTCATTTGCTGTTGTAGTTAGCTGACATTTTACATTTCCTTTGTGTTCAAGTAGTCTTTGTATAATCACACAGCATATGTACAACGGCATGATAATACATTCAGTATTCACAGTACAATAGTTTGCATATAAAAACATTGTGTATCCAACAGTTAACATACATTCATACACACAAGATATATATTAAAAAAATACAGCACCTTTCCTCACCATATGGCTAAACTGATAATGGATCACCTGGCTGAAATAAAGTCCCTGAATTATTGTTCCACATTCATGATTTTCTTTTATAAGCTATAGTAGCAGTTGGCTTGGCTAAAAAAAATTATATATACACATACAAAATTGATTGCTACTGCTGCCATAAACTATTAGCTATCTGAAATGTACTAATGAGTGCATTAGCAAAAAGGACTGCTACTGCTATGTTAGATTAACAAATTTTCATCCTATCATGACAGAGCTCATAAACACAATGTAGTTAAGACAAATGATCTACTTCATTCTGAAATACAATTTGCCCTTCCTCACCTCCAAAGACTCTCTCATTGCTGAGAGCTTTGAGTCATCATTTTACCTAGGACTGTTCCGATTAGTTTTGAGAGTTGTTTATGTTTATTTTGTTCCTTAACAAAATTTGTTTTTAAACTGTATATAACACTCTTCCCCCTAGAGCATTAGAGCAATCTAAAAAAAGAAACAAAAAGATTTTAAAAACAACCAGTAATAAAAACTGCAATAAGCAACGCTTAAAGAGAATTTCTAAATTGCCTAGAAGCATAGACTTAATCTAGAATGACAGAAAATTACAGAGAAAAAGTAAGCAAAAACTATTTTGCCCCAGGTGTATTGGTCTTGAGTAAGGAAAAAATATTTAACTTTTAAAAGGTTTCACTGGATGGCATATGCAGCACTATCAAGGAAAGGAAAGTTTACAAGTATGAGGGAACATGACTTTTGGAGGTCCTTGTGGCCAAGATTATTAAAACTGTGGGCCCAATCTAAAGCCCACTGAAACAAATATATTAGTTTCCCCTGACTAAAGTGAGCCGTTAGTCAGACCCTGCAGTGCATAAAATTAGGCTCCTTGGAAAAAAAAAATTCAAGGCAGTTATTTAGGGACCTACTAAGGACACAGTAGGACTTTGACAATCTTGGCCTATACGTTTACAAAATAATATGTATTTATATACCACTAACACCATAATATATCTGAGCAACTATTCTCAATCATTAATCAGTCATTGAATACATATAGAAAAACTTATACTGGGACATTAGACTAAACTTACTTATTATTTGGATATTTTTCCCAACCAGTCCTTTGGGTGGTTAAAGAAGGATTTTCTACTAGATCCCATATACTCTACCTATTTGAATCTCCAGAAAACATTTAATGCTGCACTTCTAAAAGAATTTGTTAATTTATTCAATAAACTGATGTTATCTACAGGATTATGATCAGAGGATAAACAGTGCCAAGAGGAAAAAAAGCAGAACTGTCATCCCCACAGATTAGCTCATCAGATGCATCACTGTCATTGAACCTAACAGGACACATAAGTGTCTTTTACTATATTGGTCTCTTTCTACTATGTCCTCCAGTCTGAGTCATCCTCTAAGATTTTGTTTGCCTATTGTATCTAAATTATTCATTCATAAACTGCAAAATTACATAGGGACAAAGCCAAAATATGCCCTAGTTAAGATAAATAGTCTCTTTGAAGAATATAAACAATGCAAAAACTCAAAATACACCATTCCAAAATGAAAATCAAACAGAACAATTAGTTTACACAGGTGTACTTACTATAGAAAACATCACGGTTGTATTCCAATTTCTCACTTACAAATACTTGTCTTTTTAGGTCTACCCTTTCCTCAGAAGTGTGCTATATGTCATGCCTTTAGCCTTATGAGCAATCAGATTTCTGTCATGCTGAAATATTGAATATATGAATTACAAGTTAAGGCCCAGCTTTTCAGAAGTGTAGCTTTTAATTTTAGTTTTGTTTTTTTTTTTTAAAGTAGTTGTGCAGAACATATTTATTCATTTCTGTCTTCACTTCATAAAGATTAAGACCCAGGAAAGCATGTCTATAACTCTAGGCACGAGTATCCTATTGGAGACACTGGGGCTACTCGCCACCACTCATGTTCTTGAGTACTCTGCTGGATTGGGGCTTTATATTACCTAGATAGTATAATGCAATATGCCATCAGGAATCATTCATCAAAACTTTTAAATATAAGAGCAACCCCTTGTTAGCAAATTCCTTTTTGGCTCAATCACAAATTACAAAAGTGGACAAAATTTTGTTATTGGACTCTAGTATATTGAATTATATCCTGGGGTGCCTTAAACTTAAATTTTCCAGATGACCGGACAAGTTGGTTAACCTCTGGAAGCAGTGAGTTAAACATGCCTTGATATACTGATTGTAGATAGTAAATGTGATTGTATTCCATGCTGCTTTAGCCATTTTGATCAAAAACTATATCCGGTAGGGTTGGAAAGGACTTAAAATTACCTACTCCAATTTTCCTCACACTGAACAAGATTTGCCTCCACACTGTTGCTACAAGAACTTTCTTTAACTGACTGTTAAGCATCACTAATTAACAACAGCTCAATATCTCCCTAATCAAATGATTCTATTGCTAGTTGATCTTGCCATTAAAAATGTGTACTAGATCTACTTTTTTTTTTTCTCTCCTCAAGCTGTTCCAACAAGGTTTTAAAAGCAGAGGCCCAGCCTGTTCTGCATGGATATTAAAGATCCTCTGGCATGGTACACAGTAGTGTGGAGTTGCCAAAATTTCTCCTCTCCAAGGCCTCAGTAGTAAAAACAATCACACTCATGCTCAACTGAAAGCACTTAGTACCACCTGACACCCATTGACTTCAGTGGGACTCTTTGTGGACTGAGGTATTGTTCAGCCTGAGCAAGGGTATCCAAATCTGGCCCTAAATTACTTGTACTGTATTTTTAATAAGAGGTTTTAAATAAAATTGCTCTTTCAAAATGAATCCCTCATCCATGCGAGCTCTCTTTTCCCTTAAGAATTTTACTCCGAAACCTTCTAATCCCCTTAAAAATTTCTCCATTGGCTCCTATCAGGAACAAACAAAACAAAAACAAAAACAAAAACAAAAACAACACGTTTGGGGGACAATCAAATATTTTCACTTTAAAACGTAACTTTATAGTGGTGGGACATCCTTTGAAATAAACATGGGCATGTTAGATGGATGTTTCTGCTAAAAAGTCTCAGCAGTGAAATAATTAGCAAAGTACACACTTAAATTGCCATTACCAGGTTTCTCCTCAGTGAGGTGATGATTCCACATGGGTGTAGTCTCATCTCCCAGAACTACTGTTTCTGTGTTTCTACAGGCTTAGCAGGGAAGCTTTGCATTAGTTCACATTCAGAAGGACTAGACAATTTTTTTTTTCAAAGGAAGCTTTAATTTGTTGTTTGTTTTCAGGTTTTGCAGACACATTGGAAATATCAAATACCTGCAGAGAGATGCTGAGTCCATACAATTGCATGGAACTATGATGGAACACATTTCCATTGACGCTTATTAGATTATGCATTCTGTGAATAGAATCACTGTCGCTAACAACTAAGCTTCAAAATAAACTATTAAAATTAATAGAGGATATTCATACCTCTCTTGGCAAGACTCAAGATAACTGGTTGACATGGTAGAAGATCTCTTCACAGCAAAAAGGGCTATTTATGTTTTTGCTAATGTTGGTTCTCTCAGTGAATGCTTAGTCTCTGGAAATTTCACCAGAAATCCACATGAAGACATTATTTCCACATTTACATCTCTCAGGATCAGAGTCCCTTTAAACAGCATATCTTTCCTTAATCTTATCCAAAAGACGTATAGACAATTGTCATCTTTTCTCCAAGCTGTGCATATTGAATACTCTGTTTCCTCAATAAAATGGTACCAATAAAATTTGGATAACTTCCCTGGAAACAGTGACAGCAATAAAGATATATTGCTCTGATGACACTTTTCTTCCTGTAAAAAGCATAGAAAACAGCTTTTAGAAGAATATTTATTAGGAGCTAATCAATAGCCATTTGCTCTCATTCTGAAGCTACTTTTAAAGTCGGCCAAATCTTGCCTCTATGGGCAATCTCTGAAGAGATTACTTTTCTGCAAGCAATAATGATCTCCAGACAAAGCTAACATCTTGTTTTATTAAGTCTGACTATCACTCTCATGGTCTAGTGATAGATAAATTACAGGGGAGAAAAAGACAGCCCACAAAAGAGGTCTTAACATAATGTTAAGGAACGCTGTTGTATTATCAAGTCTCACAAAGCAGCAGTTCATTATTTTTTCTTGTATTCAGTATGAGTAAGTGTTGGATATTATTCAAAATGGATCATAAATTCTATATAAAGTCTGTATGTAGAAACGTGGAACATATTAGTTAAGAAATGTATATCAGCAAAAATTACCAACTAAAAAATCTGTTTTATAAACACATTGTGTGTGCAAATATAAACATCTTGAATTTTGAATCTTTAAATTGATGACACACTTACAGTTACTTCTCAGGAAAACGGGCACCCACACTGTTCCTGCAGAAGAGTCTCCATTATTCTAATACCCTGTAAAGAATACAGACAAATCACAACCTACATATATATCACATGTATTAAAACAGACACTACAACATGCAAGCAGATGACTTGTTCAGATCATCCAAACAATGGGACGATGGTCAAATCTGGAGAAAACAATTTACTGCCTTATCATAAAATGGCAATAACTCCATTGTAATTTTGTCTGCAGCAATACTGGGGTAGCAGTGCAATTATATAGCTTGGTATGTGCATATGGGGCAGTGGGGAGATGAGAGGGAGTGTTTACATCATATTGTGCCCACAGCATTCTACTCTAATTGAAGGAACCTTGGCCTAGTGGCTGGAGCACTGGATTGGGACTCCATACATCCAGGTTCTATTCCCAGCTCTTCCATTGGGTAGCTGGGTGAACTTCGCTATGGCATTTCACTTCCCTCTACCTCAGTTTCTCCATCTGTAAAATGGGGATAACACTTACCTTTGTTGTAAAGGGCTTTGAACTCTATGGATGAAACATGCTGCATAAGAGCTGGGCATTATTTTTAATAAAGGAGCATCAGATAAACACTGCTGGAAACTGGGGTAAGCACTACTAATACAAATGACACTTGCCTTGTCTACATTAAAGGACTACACCAGAGCAAAACACACAGGTTACTTGTCATTGACAGCTGAAATGGGGGTTAATCCTCAGGACAGGCAATGTCTTAGGCAACATACATTAGCCTGTTCTATTTATTGATTCATTCAAACTTTTACTAAACTATAATAATCCAATGCTCTGGGAGCCCCTGAAACTTTCAGAAAGATGCAAAATAAGCAAAGAAACCCAGTTCAAGTCAAACAAGTCAGTGACAAAAACAATAAATTAGCCTCATCATACACTCCTCATGTCACCACTAACGAGACCTGGCCCAATATCCAGGTCCTCCCAGGCAAAGGACAAAAAGCAGACCTTACAGCACACCGCTATGCTAACCAACTCAGGCTGTTACAGTGCTAAGGAAGAAGAGAGTGCTAAAGATGCAAGGCCCTAATGGAGTATGCTCTGCCAGACTATATATAATGTTTGCTACTACATGTTCAGATCCTCTTGGTGAAATCTTGGCCCCACTGAAATTAATGGGAGTTTTGCCATGGTCTTCAATGAGGCCAGGATTTCACCCTGTGTATTCTTCTGTTCAACAAGCTGAGAAAATTCTTGCTCAGTTCAAGTCGCGTGGGGGGGGGGGGGGGGCACGAAGGGGGGAAGAGAATAAAAAGCAATACTAGTTTTAATAAAAAGTTTAAGAGCACTTCTTTACACAGCTCTACATTAAAATCAGGTGAAATTTTTGAAATGTATATAATAGCTCGCCTTCCATGACTATTCTTTCCATGGGAAGCGAGAACTGGCTAGCTTAGCCCATCAGTCTAAATTAAGCATGCCACCATTTACAGAATAGAGCACTAATTGACATAAGTGAAGACTCCGAGGTTTGCCTTGGGAATTTAAAAATGTTATTTATTGAATCAATTATGTTCACAGTGTGACAGCTGCTTTTTCTTTTCTCCTCCTCATAGCATTGAGGGGTGGGGAGAGAATCTACAAAATGAATAAAAAAATACTAAAGGGCAGGTACAAGTCATTACTGAGTAACTTTTCAGTGGAGAATGACTAAATCAAAGACTAATCAATATATGCCTTTCAACTAAAGTTCAAACACTTAAATCTCAGCCCCAGGAGATCAAGCTTAAAGGGGCTAAATTTACACTGCTTACAGTGCAATGATGCACTTGAAATGCAGAACAAACATTGCTTACCCATTAAGCTGTCCACCTTTATAGATACAGCTTAAAAGCTTTTCTGATTGACAAGCCATAGAATAGTTTTATTTTTTCCAAGGTAAAGATTTTTTTTTTGTAACTGCAAGAATCTCTCTTCTTGCAAATATCTAGATACTACTGTATTAGCTGGAATAGGAGCCAAGAGCTTACAGAGTTGTATGGATTCCAAGACTCAGAAGTGTAACTTTTTGGGTGATATGTTCTCTTAGAAGTCTCACACAGGACAGCCGATATCAAAGAAGGTACAAAAACAAACCAAGAGGGTGGTTGACAAAATAAACAAGGAACGTCTGATAATAGCAATCTATGGGACTCTCCAACACCATAGAAACAACCACGTTAAGGAACCTTAGCTCGTAGTTTATAACTTAGTTTCCACCTAATATAGTCTCCAAGCTACTTTGGACAGAGATCATGTCTGTAATGTACCACGTACAATTATTGAACTATATAATATTAATCTCATATTTTATTTAAGTGGCTGCTTGGAGAATTTTATCTTAAGTAGAAACCATAAATTTGATTCTGATGGGGAAAAAAAAAATCCAGGTCTGAATGTAAAATTCATCTCCACTTCCAGTACAAAGATATGTAACCTGGATGTTTTTTATTAACTAGCCGCTTCTTACAATAATCTCCTCTATATTATGCTAAACCTATGAAAACATCATCCTAATATCTCGTGTTCTTTTTGCAACCATGACAAAAACATTTGAGAGAGTAAACAAATATTTGGTTATTATTTGTATGCCAAGTACTGTAATTCCATCATTTTAGATCAATTATATCAATGAAAACATAACTCATTTATTTTTCCATCTCATTATGCTTTTTGGTTGTTCTTGGCATCGAAAATTAATCTAAAAATATATTCCAAGAATGGGCAATACTGCAAATATTGCAGGGCTTAAGAGACATTGGATAAGACTCAAATCAACACACACTGGTATGCATATTCATTTTATAAAATGGTCTTAAAACTGTTTTACTTAATATGCAAAAGGCAGATTGTATACGATTACCTCTGCAGATGATCAGCAATGAAACTACAAACCAATCAGATCACTTTTTTTTTTTAAGTAGGATAAAAATAAGATGACTTGTTGCTCACCAATTCCCCTTCAAGCTAGTAAGCATCTTCCAGCTGCTAGGTCTACACAATATTTAATAAACTGGAGACAAGAGTTCTTATATTGGAGAGGCCTTCTGTCTGACTAGTGCCAGAATGACATATTTTGATATCTGGGATTCCCGGAGCATATCTGTCCAGATTTTTGAATTATTCATATAGATAGTCTTATTGGCTACTAGGCAGCTACACACTAGCCACAGAATTTTTTTTTCCCCCTGCAGAGGAATTTTCAGGGGAAAAATTATTTACAGTCTTTACTTTCTACATTAACTGTAACGTAGCAACTCCTCAAGCAGATACATCACCGTTCACTAGATTATAAAGAAAGATTTCGGCCCCAACTCTCCATTGCTCCAATCCTGCACTTTGTGCTTTAAGCCACCTTTGCACTCCCCGAGTCTCAAAACTGCCGTAACTTACCCTCTGATTGCCCATGGAAAGCTGAGAATTGCAGGAGAGTAACTCCAATGACTTGCCCTCTTTCTTTCCCAGCATGCACCCTAAGCCATCTGGTCAGTTCTATGCTAGCAAGGGAACCCCCTATACATTCCCATCTGGTTTGGGGCTCAGTTACACTGTCAGAGTATCATAAAGGAGCCTTAAGGCAACAATAAAAACCCAGGCCCCCCCAACATCTCCCTCTACTTAAAGTTCGCTTTCCTGTTAAAGGCTAGTTTTCAAGCTCCAACTTCTACAAAACAAAAGGAATAATTCTGACACTTCACAGCTTATTTCCCATCACAGGGAACAATTTTTGGTCAACGTTTGAGTTAAACCGAAGAAGAAATTCTAGAGGTCTGAGTCAAGGATTTCACAGTTATTCAATTTTTTTAAAACACAGTTTAGCAGTTATTGAGATCATATCTCAGTAATGAAATCTACTGAAAAAAAAATCAAAATCACCTTCTCTAGTGCTCCATGAATAGAGAAGTGCCTTCTACTCTATTACAATAGGAAATTCAGAGATATTGAATACTGATTGTGTGGGAAAACAGACACCTGATTGTCGTCTATTCAGAAATATAAATATTAAGACAGCATTTTCTCTTTCTCCATCTGAAGCCTATGCCCTATCTCAATACTTTCCCCTCCAGTCCCTCAATTCCACTTCCCACCACCCCACCATAATAACCTCTCTCATTTTAATCACTAAAAATGTAGGATTTAAATGTGGACTAGTGGCAGGGGATCAGGGGTAGGGATGGGTATGTTCTCTGTAAACTCTTCAAAATCCTGACCATATTATACTTCTATTTATTATAAGCACTACAAATACCAGGTATAACGAGGAAGTGTCTCTTTTTTGGCTACAGGATATAAATTTGGTGCAGATACAAATCTGCATCTCAAGAAGATTTATTAGGTCTTAATGAATTATTTCATAATTTCTTCTCCAATGCAGAAAAAGGCAATTCATTGGGGGTAAAATGACTCTCCTTATTAATGGTCTCAAGATTCTGTCTTTAGGATTAATTGAATTACTACTGGCACAATTCTGAACAGCAGATATTTCTATATGAATTAATCTTCGCCTAGTGCTGGCTTTGGGAATACAGCAAACCCAAAGCTATAGGAATCTTTCGAACGCGAGAGTGGTCATTTATTAAGTATATGTTGCTTTAACACTTTAAAAGATTATCTTTCTATCGCTGAAAGTGAGCATATTTTAGCTGAGTATAATTGGAACTACCTGATTCCCAGCTCTTTCTAATAAAAATCCCCATCCAAGGGTTTTAAAGAAAGCCAATGCACTAAGAGAGACTGCTTTATCAAGAGCATAGAAGCAAAAAGGTACGTAAGTGTGTAAGTCAATTTTTTTAATTTAGGTTTTTCTTATCCACAGATATGCAGCCACAGCCAAAATTCTCAAAGAGATTCCAGTGCAGCATTGTACAGTTATTGTGATTTGGATTTTATTTTGTGCACTGACCCCAAGCTGTGATATACTAGTAAGATGCTTAAAGTTTAACCCATTACAAGATAAAGATTTCTAAAAGGGGTAAAAAGAGACAGTTATTTCAAAAGAATAAGGCTTTTTAGGGTAGCAAGAGTAGCCAAAGGGGGGGGGGGGGAATGAAAACCACACTTTGAAATATTTCTCTGAGTGTAACACCTGGAGCCTATTTTCAAAATCAGCCTCTCATTTTTTTAATCAGGTCCCCGAACCCCCTCAGTTTGCTCCTCTCAATCCGGAGGAGTAGCAGCTGTAACCTGAGGCTCTCCCAAATAGCCAAGCCCCTCACCCTGTCTCAGAGAGTAGGCCCAGCCACCCTGCGAAGAAACCTCACTTCCGCTGCTTGTACCCGCAATCTTGTCCTTTCAGTCATTACCCAAAGTTCATGGCCATACGTGAGGATGGGGATGTAGAGTGACCTGTAAACAGAGAACTTCGTCCGAGAACTCAGCTTCCGCTTCTCCACCACAGATCGATAAGGCGCCCACATCACTACCGCCGCCACACCAATCCGCCGGTCGATCTCACACTCCCGCTCACTATCACTCATGAACGAGACCCCTAGGTAATTGAACTCTTCCACTAAGGGCAGCTGCTCCCCCTTCACCTAGAAGGAACAGTTCACTCTCTTCTGGGAGAGGACCATGACCTCCAATTTGCAGTTGCTGATTCTCATCCCAGCCACTTCATACTCAGCAGCAAAAACATCAGAGATCACAATCTGAAGACGCAACAAGGACATCATCATCTGCAGACAGAGATGCCGCCTCCGCGTCTCCATACTGGATACAATCCACAGCTCAGCTGCGCCTTGATAGCCTGTCCAGGAAAATCACGAACAGGAGTGGGGACGAGACGCACCCTTGGCAGAGTCCAACGCCCACCCTGAACTAATTCGACTTAATGCCAAGAATACGAACACAGCTCTCACTCCGAGAATAGAGGGACCTGATAGCACGCAAAAAAGAACTTCTGAAAATCCTACACCCCAAAAAGTCTATCATTTTTATCTGTTCCTAATTAGAAGTCAACTGAATACACCTTTGACAATGCGGGTCCTTCAAGTACATTTAAAAAGTGAAATTACTGTTGGTAAAGAAAAAAATGTTGTAAATAATGGAAAATTTAGGTCAGTTACATTTTTTGCATTATGTAAGATTTAGATCCCAATATGAAAATGCAACACCACTGGTCACCCACCCACACTTATGTACATCAAAGCAACATAACTGTCAAAACACTCAAGATGTGTATTTTTTCAGTGAAAAGGCTTAATTAAGCATCCCTTTCCTTTCTAGCTGATGAAAAATTGCATATGGAGCTAGTTGGACATCAACATGTCCTCCTCCTCAAAACCCCCACCCCCAACAAATGTAAGAATTCTACATCATTCAATTTCATGGTGAATAATTTGCATGAGATTTTTGTTTGTAAACCCAGATCTTCAATATGACATGCCTTTCTAAAACTAATGATGTTGGAATATTATTTCCTTTGGGATACACTTCTGGATACCAGAGTGGCTTTTATTTCCTTTCATAATTCTTACCAAAAAGACAGGATTATTGATCCATATAAAATTGTTACAAGAAGATTGACTGTTGCTATTGTAAATATATCAAGATGCCTGAAGCATCCAACATTACTGGGGGGGAAAGTGCAGCCATACATGCATGTTCATTAAGTACTGTAAGATGATTGGATGCAAGAGTGCTATAAAACGATAAGCTATTATTATTACATTATATTAACTAGTACACTGAAATGTTAGCAGGAAAAAAGTTTCAACATCTAGAGGAAATGAGAATAATGAATTTAACAAAATGCTTTAAAAATACATTTGGAAAATTACTATTACACATTCAAACTATCCCATTTCTTGTTCTGTTTATTATTTACAATTAAAGGAAAAGACCAACGTTAGTTTTACATGATGGGTGAAGAAGCCAAGTTTCAACTCCTTAGGATTTTAAAACCCAAACTGGATTATTAGGGATGGTCAGAATTTGACAGATTTCAAATGTAATTTTAGGAACAAATATAAATAATAAATTAAACCTACCTTCTTGACTCCTTGATTTAGAAAGGTTTGAGCAAAAGCTTCCAATACACAGTTGAGCAACCCTGCTCCGGTAATGGATATCCTCCCTTTCTGGATGAACTCTGTCCTATAAAACAGGAATGTAACAATTGTATTCCTCTCTTTAAATGCATGGACAGTAATTCTCTGATGAACTATATTTTATAAACAGGCACAAAAATCAAAATTCACTGCTTAGATTCAGACAAGTGGATCCGAGAGTGTACTACTGTGGGCAGGGAAGAACAGTGTTTTTGTCCACCATCAGGGGGAGACATTCACATTGTTATTCCTCAAAATGATTTTGTTATTGTAAAATTAATGGTGGTGAAAGGTGTAGCGGGAATGGTGGGTGAAGCCCACCACAATGAAAGACACACACCCCTCTTCTTGGTGAGGTTGGGCCATACTGACAGCTTTGAACACTAAAGGTCCTTTGCATTCACAAACAAGCAGCAGCAAAACAAGCTTAACTTCCACACTGGCAAGCCAGCAAGCCTCAATCCTAACCTGGACGTCTGAGTGTAGTTCAGTCTCTACAACTTTGCTGAGGCTGCCCACCAGGTAGCCAATTGTGGTGATGTGACCTCGCTCAGTTTCTCCGGGCCTCAGTTCCTCATCTGTAAACTGAGCTGAACCAAGCTCGTTTGCTTTTGTCCTTCAGATTGATGCAACTTAACATAACAATGTAATGGAGTCAAAGAAAGAGTTTTGCAGCGCATAGGTGCTGCCACACCCCCTGGCTTGAAGTGGTTTCCATCATATTCAGGGTTGACAGTTTGGTTCAACGGCTCTCAGCATACCCACTATGCAAATTGTTCCAGCTTGAGTGTGTAGGAAAACATTCAGAAACAGGAATGTGGCCACAAGAAATAAAGCCACCATGAAGACCCAACCCCATACAATCAAGATTTATTTATTTATTTATCATGGCTCTGGGAGACAACAACAACAAAAGCTCATGGAAAATATTGATCACTGATTGATTCTTGTAGCACACAGCTGGCAATGCCACATCATTACAACAACACAGTCACAGGGAGAAGTCTATTAATGAGATCCAGCTACTAAATTATTGACTGGTTAAGTACTGCAAATTTGGCCTAATTGTTTTCGTGATGGGAGTTTAATTAAAGTGTCTTTAGTACAAAAAGCCTAGCAATATTCTTATTCAGACAGTGTCAAGGAATGCTCTCACAGCTTGCTTGGCCTTTCAAAAGTAAAATTAAAATTTAGATTGTGTGAGGTCCTTTAGCGAGGAAGCTTTTGTTATGTGAGAATTTATGAAGTATCTACACATGGAGCATTGAGTGCATTTGAAATGTGTTTAGGGCCCTTCATTTTCAGTTTTTATTTAATTTAATTTTTCCCAGTGTTTATTACCACCACAACAAAAACAGATGAAAAATCAGTGCTAAAAACTATTACTTTTTTTGAGTAAATATCAGCATTTATTGTGGTGGATGGAAAAACGGGGGGGAGGGGGGGAAGTATTCAGTAGATTAATACTTTGAATTCTGTTCATCAGTGTGGTTTGCTGGAGAACTAAAACAGAACGCCACCTCTGAAGAAAACACTCTCTCTCTAATCCCCTAACAACACTTCTCATTTGAACAAACAGTTACTGTTTTAGACTTAGAACTATTAGCCTATAATATTTACATTTAATAATTGGGCCACACCATTTACAGCGCATACACTCAGCTTCATCCTTTTCTCCTGTTTTTTAAAATTTTTGACTACTTCCTTGTGTTCTGAAACATTCTGATACAGATTTTCATTTTCTCCCCATTGTAGTGTGTCAAATCTTTAAACCGTTATCTGCCAACAGCTTGAAATGTGTACGTGGTGGGCATGAGATTCATCAGTACGTTCAGATGTGCACACCCTTCAGAGCTTGCGTATGTGCCTGTTTGCTTATTGTATGCATCTTCTCATCTAGACTAATACATAGCCTTACTTCAACGTGCAGCTTTGCATATACACCGAGACTAATGTATTATCCTAACACAATACATTGCATGATATATGTATTTTTCATAATAAAATAAGTTTATATAGATATAAATAAAATGATACAAAAGTAGGGTGAAAAATCAGAAAAAAAAGTGAATAATACTTTTTCTAAAACCCAGGAATTTTTAGGTAAAAATTGGTTTGAACTGAAAACGAAGGGGCTTGCAAGTATGCACATCTTAATGGAACAAGTGTGGTTCTCCAGTCATTTCTGGGTCAAATAATCCCAGTAAGGCTGATCTGAGAGGATTTGGATACTCTTCTTGAGAGGTTCGGTCCCCATCTCCTCTTTCAAAAATCCTTCCACACAGGACCGGCTCTAGGCACCAGCTTGCCAAGCAGGTGCTTGGGGCGGCCGCTCCGGAGAGGGGCGGCATGTCCAGCTATTCGGCAGATGGTCCCTCACTCCCGCTCGGAGCAAAGGACCTCCTGCTGAATTGTCGCCGCAGATCATGATAGCGGCTTCTTTTTTTTGGGGGCTGCTTGGGGCGGCCAAAACCCTGGAGCCGGCCCTGCTTCCACATTCTGGAAACTGGCAGAGTTCTTAAAAACAGAGATAGAAGGTCAGAGTGTTTGTGCTGTCTTGCATTTCCAGTATTTATGGGCCTGGATAAATTCCTTCGACAGAATGTAGACTAGGGGAATGGCTCTGTAAAAATCTAGCAGTTCAATCCAGTACTTCTACAAGCTGTAATTTCAAACACAAGCAGCCCCATTTCTGTAAGAACAAGGACACTTTTCAGATAGTCTGTCATAAACTGATGCCAAAGTATTTTAAAATTCAGGGTGGGCGGGGGCCAAGAGGTGGAAGAGAAATGAAAATTGTGAAGTCTGAACCTTGCAAAAATCTACCAGACAAGTGGTGTCCTTGATTGATTAGATGGAATACAAAACATTTCAAAGCCTTACAACACTTTGTTTTAGGAACAGATGAACAACCATAGTGTAACAAGCCAGTAGACCATCCCGTCCTCTGACAGTAGCATATATTAGATGCTTCCAAGTATTGGGCGGGGGGGCTTGCACCCAGCCAATTCTGTAATACAGTAACACTGGAGAAATTTCTTCCTGAGTTCAGCTGCTTACCAACTTGTCACCTGAAGCACAAGGATTAATAGCCCTTATAATTTTTGTCCTGGCTGTGCTGCATATTTCATAGATTCCAAGGCAGAAAGGACCATTCTGATCATCTAGTCTGACCTCCTGCATAGCACAGGCCACAGACCTTCCCCAAAATAATTCCTAGAGCAAATCTTTTTAGAAAAACCATCCAATCTTGATCTAAAAATTGCCAGTGATGGAGAATCCACCATGACTCTTGGTAAATTATTCCAATAGTTAATTACTCTCAAGGTTATACATTTACGCCTTATTTTCTGGCTGAATTTGTCAAGCTTCAATTTCTGGCTGTTCAATTGTTTTATACCTTTCTCTGCTAGACTGGAAGAGCCCATTATCAAATATTTGTTCTCCATGTTGGTACTTCTAGATTGTAGACAAGTCACCCCTTATCCTTCTCTTTCTTAAAGTAACTAGATTAAGTTCAAGTCTATCATCACAAGGCAGGTTTTCTAACCCTTCCATGTTGTTTGTGGCTCTTCTCCAAACCCTTTCCAATTTCCCAGCATCCTTCTTGAATTGTGGACACCAGAAACAGACACAGCATTCCAGCAGAGGTGGCACAAGTGCCAAATACGGAGATGAAGATACATCTCTACTCCCACTCAAGAGTCCCCTGTTTATGCATCCCAGAATTGCCTTAGCTCCTTTGGCTGCAGCATCACACTAGAAGCTCATGTTTGGATGAATATCCACCAAAAACCCCAAATCTTTTTCAGAGTCACTGCTTCTCAGGATAGAGTACCCAATCTTGTAAGCATGGACTACATTCTTTGTTCCTAGATACACACATTTAGCTGCATTAAAAACACGTATCATTTGCTTGCATCCCGTTTACCAAGTAACCCAGATTGCTACCTGCCCTCTTCATTAATTTATCGCTCCCCCAATTTATGTCTTCTGGGGACTTTAAACAGTGATGATTTTATGTTTTCATCCAAGTCACTGACCAAAAAAAAAAAAAAATTTTAATAGTGCAAGACCAAGAATGGATCTCTGTGGATCCATGCTAGAAATACCCCCCTCGATGATTCCCTGTTTACAATTAACAGAAGTCTAAGTATATTACATCAGCATTATTACCTTTAGCAACCAAACTTGTAATCTCATCAAAAAAAAGGAAATCAAGTTAGTTTGATAGGATCTATTTTCCATAAACCCATGTTGAACGGTATTAATTATATTATCCTCCTTTAATTCTTTAGTAATTGAGTCCCATATCAGTCACTACATTATCTTGCCTGGGATCAATGTCAGATTGACAAGCATTTAATTACCTGGGTCATCCTGTTTACCCTTTGAAAATATTGATACAATGTTCACTTTCTTCCAGTCTTCTGAAACTTCCCCAGGTGTTCTAAGACTTATTGAAAATCAACATTAATGGTCCAGTGAGCTCCTTGGCCAGTCTTTTTAAGACTCTTGGCTGCAAATTATCTAGACCTGTTGATTTAAAAATGTCTAACTTCAGTAGCCACTGTTTAATATCCTCCTTCAGATGTTAGTGGAATGGAAAGTGTATCATGATCATCTGAAGAGACTACATCATCTGTTTTTTCCCCCAAATACAGAACAGAAATATTTATTTACCCCTTTTGACTTTTCTGCATTATTACTGATAATTCTACCACTTCCATCTAGTAATGGGCCAATACCACTGTCAGGAGTCTTTTTATTCCTAATATACCTAAACACCTTATTGTCCTGAATTCTGGCTATAGATTTCTCCTTGTGTCCCTTTGCTTCCCTTATCAATTTTCTACAATTCCTAGCTTCCGATTAATATTTGTTACTATCAACTTCTTCTTTCTTCCATGTTATCTATATTTTATTTTTTATAGCTACCTTCTCTTCCTCTCTAAGCCACGTCAATTTTTTTAAAACTATATAGCCTTCTTCCTTGACTATGGATTTTTTGGCATCTAGTAAAGTTTTCTTAAAACGATTCCTAAT